ATCGAAAACTCCAAGCAGCCTAAGTTACAGCCTTTAAGTGGCCTAAGTTACAGCCACACACACAAACATGCATGGAGGGTGATCTTTCAGCTTGTCAGCACTTGTCGCTCCAAGATCATTACATAGAATTTCAATGCATTGACAAATCAAGGTATTGCCACAGTATATGGGAGGCTCCCGCCAGCGACATGATCATGGCCGCCACACCGCGCTACACCGCGCTACAGCCAGGCTCCGGGATCCAATGTAAAGAGTCCCAGCTCTCGTGCCAAAGCCACAAAAATTGGAGGTTTGCTTTCAAGATCCGAAGGACTCCAAAGGCTACAGAGGGTGGAGGCCATCGGCCATTACTAGCATTTAGGAGATTTGTATCCTCACAGATCGTCCAGAAGATATCACCGTCAGGCCGGCAAATCTCATCTTCGGTCCGGTCTTGGTGTCATCCCGAGCTGTTTCTATCTTGTTCCGGGGGCCTCAAACCGTAGCATGTCACAGCTAGCTCACAGCCGGAATCATATGCAAGCAAAACACCATCCGAATCCAAATGAGTATTTCTCTGCGCTTCCTCCGACGGGCCAGAAATCTCTCTGCATAGCACGAGCAGGTGAGCAAGATGGCTACAAGGCGCTGGGACAACTTGTAGGATGCTGGCATGTGCCTGGTACCTTGGGGGAAAACACTCGTTGGAATCGTTGGAACCGATGTTCAATGTTAAGTGTGTCGGAGCATGTGGTATCGCATGTTGGACAAACCACAGGCCATCCGTGTACATCCGCGTACTAAATGCCAGAAATCAAGCTCGGACCTGCTTGAGGTATATAATTGATTTCCAACGCAAGCCTCAAGTGTCTGCTGAAGGAGAGCCACAAATGTCTTCGTAAGACTGCCGGATTCTTGGTCCCACTTGATGGCAGTATTCACCCATTTCACATCATGAACAGTGTAACAAAAAACGGCACAAAGCCCAAACTAACACGGCGTTCGCATGGCATTGAACATGAGCAGCAGCTTCCCAATGTAAAGTAAAATGTTGCCTTGCGGCTCCAAAGCGTTGCCCCAATTTTGTCAACAATTTTGTTGAGTGAGCCATGGCAACACAGCTGTCAAGGGGTTTTCAATCCAAAGATATCGAGACAAACAAGAGTCTCCATCTGTTTGACTCGGCCTTCGTCGAAGCAGGTTGTGGATAGAGAAGCATTGGTCCAAGCCTTTGTTCATCTTCGTATGGGAGGGCTCGGATTTCCAGCTATGATGGAAGCGGAAATCCAAGGAGCAAGTCAGTCTAGTTCTCCAGTGGCAGTTGCTGATCATGGAAGGCCTTCTCAGTGGCCTTCGCTAGGCCAAGAAATGTGTGAGTTCCCTAGTAAGACTAGGACTTGTGTGCTACAGTATCCACTTCTACGGTTCATAGCGGGTCTTTTTATCAGAGCACATGAGGTCCGACCGGGTTGGTGCTGCAGACGGCAGCTGTAAGGATTGTAGAAAGAATAGATTTGGACATGATGACATGGAATTCTTACAGGTTAATCACCTCAGTTGACTGCACCTCGAGAGGAACAAAAAGACCTATATAGTCATCAGGGAAAGGACCTGCAGAAGCAACTAGCTCCTTTTGATCTGCACATGAGGCGGTCTATACCACAGCCCGCTCTTCAGGCTGCACTACCTTGGTCGGCAACATCAGCGGGGCAGCACCACGGCCGGGAATGTGTGCGAAAAGAACGTGGTGCTGTGTTCCATCTTATCAGGGTATTGAACTGTGAGTGTATTTGCCAAAAGAAATATACTTAATTGTAGTACACTTGTACATAGCATAACTTATACAACTATCAACTATATATTAAGTATAGTCACGGCTGATTAAATTGAAAATTGAGACAGGGCTGTTCCAAGCAAAGCGATCCGGAATCTGTTCGAGCTTTTGATGGATCACTCACTCGATGTCCAGTTTCATCAATCAAACATGATCAATGGGCCATAATGGGCAATTCATCCCCGCTCGCTAGGAGCCCTGGTTCCAGAAATGATGAGACCTCTGAAACACACATATTCATAGAAAAACCGAGTCTAAATTGCATTGCCAACATGTTTCCCAAATGCTGCAGCGAACATGTGACACAGCATGTGAATACCTTTGCCACCCTAAACGCTCTTGCTAGAGTCTAGAGCACCTGGTTCTTTTCGGTAGCAAACCTTTTTCCAGCCGAAGTCCAGGAATTCTGAGAAATCATGCCAACCTGGCACGCTGATACTTTCTCATGCATCTGTCTTGTAGACGCTGCAGCCCAGTGGCCATCGTGACGCATCACGCCAAACTTTCCAGGACATGAAAAAGGTGGAAAATGCCATCCATGTCCAGCAACCCCACGTCGGCCTTGCAAGTCTCGCATCGCACCGCATAGTACTTGCTGGGGTCATCCTGCATCCCGCGTGCACCGGCGCACCGGAGTCGTGGCCACAAGAATCGGGCCTCTTTGAAGGACGGGAGAATGGAATCTATGGACAGCACCCAAAAGGAGTGCTGTCCGTACACCAGAAACATATCAACATGACAGCAGCTGCATGGTCAGGCATGGTTCCAATTGAAGAAACACCAAAAAACCTCCTCATGGACTCACTCCCCATCCTCCGGCTCGGGGCTCTGGCTCCGCGTCCCGACCCCTCGTCCTCGGTTCGGTCCTTGGCCATGGAGAGGGCGATGGATCGGTCCACCGTGCAGTTCCGCACGTCGCTGGCCCGCCATTGGTTGGAGTAACGCTCGTGCCGCTGACATTGGTAACCTGGGCGTGGTGGTGTCGAGTCGAGGGTGTCGAGTCGCAAAGACTGAAAGTAAGCCTGCTTTGGGTGGAAGAAGTGCTGGACTTCTCGAAGGAACAAGTTGGAGAACATGGGTCTTGAACGGAAAGTGTCCACCACTTGGCCATTTGGGGTGAGAACTTTTCCTCTCCTGGTGAAAAATCCCTGGGAGCCACCATCATTTCCAACGTATTCCCCACCCTTTGCCCACGTTGTCTGCTTTCGCATCTCAGTCACACACTGGGGTGAAGCATCCTGGACAGTTCAGCACTGCATCCGTGCTGCGCACATTGCTCTGGTCGGGTTGCAGGAGTTGGTCCTCGCCGGACTCGCCGTTGTTGGGAGTTGGTGACACATAACGCTGGACCCACACCAAGTGGAACTCCAATAGGTAAGTGGAACGTGGAACGCTGTAGGTTGTCTTCTGCTGCCGCGCAGCCACAAGGCCTTTATCAAACCTTTTGAACTTGAAGGGAAGCTGATCTTGAGCAACACCCGCATCTTAGAATCGATGTCCGGAGTGTTCGCCCGACCGAAATGGGAAAATAGGTGCCCCCCCCCCGAAATAGATCCAAATATAGGCACCATGGGACGCTTGTGAGGAGCATTCTTCATTCTCTGTGTGATGGCGAGTGTTGGAACACCTCCTCCCTTTTTTCCCTACTTGGTTTTCGGAAGCCCCGATCGACTTTGATGGAAATTCGAGAATTGGCACAACGGCGCAACGCGTCGGCGGGCGGTCGTTGTTCTACCCGAGAAACCGTCTACAGTGGTCGTTTTTGGATGTTCGTGCGGTGTCCTGCATCTCGGTGGTCAACATGTGTCAACCCAATACCGACACCGTCGACCCACCGCAATCTCGACTCAACTTTGTGGGTCAGTGAACCAACAGCTTCGGATGGAATAGTCCAAGAATTATTCTCGAAACATTTGGGATCCCCTGAGGATGAAGGGTCTTGGACTTCTTGATCCGTTATCCCTTTGCCTCTCAGTAGCCTCGTATAGCCTCGTACCTCTACTTCTTGGATTTTGCGCTTCAACCATTCCACGGTGCGCGGCGCAGCGCTTCTCATTCCCGTCCTCCACCCATTTCTGATCCTGGACAGGGAAAAGAATTCGGGAGTTGAAATGACTTGCAGCTGTCGCTGCCACGTGTCCAAACCCCGAGTGGTTTGCTCCCACTCTCCCCCGAACAGTGGGGGGGGCCACCTGTCCAGTGTTAGGCTAGACTCGGCCACCTGTCCAGCCTCGTCGTCTGCTTCTGGGTCATGGAGGGGATCCGCCTCTAAGACGTCTCGATCTCCTTGACCTTCCTTTGGCCCTGTGCCATTCCACTGCAGGACGTGGGGCCGCAAGACCACGCCGGGCTTCCTGGGCTGCTGGGTTTTGAAGTTTTAAGCGTTCCGCCTGGAAATTTTGGAAAGCACATGGGTTCCCACCTCAGTGTATCACATGAACCGGCTCAGTCGGGCCCAGGACCCAGTTTTGACCACAGCTGGCGGGGATTGTTCCGATTCGGCGCAGGCTGATTCAGCAAAGTCTCACCACTGGATTCCAGTCATCCTCCTCATCATCATCTACCTGCATGTCACACAGGTCCGCAAGAAGGGACTGCAACAATCTCAACGCCACTATATACAAGGTTAATTGGACCTGAACAATCTAAACTACTGGATGCGGGCTCCACTGAACTGTAGCATGATGGGAAAAGCCATGCTTGACCAAAGTATCCAAAAGTTCACCCTACGTGTTCCCTCCCAAAACCGAGTGGGATGGCAACTCCAACCTCCATGGAGGCCGCCATTGCAAGGACTTGAGCCAACACAATGCGGTAGTAAAATTCAAAAATCCAACGGCTCTGGTGAGAGAGCACTTTTCTTTGTTCGTGCTGGTAGTCTAGATCCATTGACCGCAAAATAACCGATCCCTGACGAACAAAAAGAAACAAGAACACACACACACACATATATAATATATACATATACATATATATTTATGGATTTATTTATACTAAATGCATATACATAATGTAATATACAAAAAATCTCAAGTTGTGCATCACACTGCCCGCTGCACGCACCGGAGATGAGGTGTAGTATGGGGCACGTGTGCGTCTAGGGCACGCACACTGGCACGCGGGGAGAAGCACCGCACTCCAAGTCATCTGATCCGCGCGACGTAACTCCGATCCTTGGATCCCCAGCCACTTTTGGGCGATAGGCTCCTCGGAGTGGGAGGTGCAGTGGAAGCCTGCAACGAAGAATGTGCACTGCAGATTTACTGCAATGAAATTTGGAGAGCCACGTAGGCACTGCTGGATAGTAGCACTGCATTCACTATGGCAAATAGAGCCTAATGGCTGTAAAGCATTGTAAAGCTATAGCAGTTCCAAGTCTGAATGGCGTTGAGATATTTTGAGTTGCTAAGTTTTCATGGCTAGGTCTGGTCACATGGCTTGGCTCACCCATGGGGTTCATTCTCCCCCTGAGCCCACTGCCTGCTATGAAAAGCTTCCAAGGGAATCCCCAAGAGCTTCTCTGAAGCAGCTTCATAGAGCCCACGGAGCCCAGGCCTTGAGCCAAAGCTACCATCGGCCACAGCGGACAACCAGGGGCTGGGACAGCGAGTGGACCCAATGGGAAGCCAGTCTAATACTAGTAGCATCCTTGTTACTACTAGTAAGGCACTTGTTACTAGAAGCGATGCACCTGTTACTAGTAGCGTCCTTGTTACTACTAGTAAGGCACTTGTTACTAGAAGCGATGCACCTGTTACTAGTAGCGTCCTTGTTACTACTAGTAAGGCACTTGTTACTAGTCTAATTCATAAGAATGCTATGCTTCTGCAAATTCGAGTGTTCCCACTGAGTGAGGTTTCATCGGCATGGTCACATAGTGCTTGCCGTGTCACCCGTTCTTTCTCAGCTTCTCACAGATCGTTTTTTGCTTATGTATAGTGTAAATATATATATATGCATACACTAAACACACATTTATAGTAAGTATATGCGTATATAATGTATATAAGTGTATGATGATACGTGTATATATATACAGTATTTTTTGATAGATCAAATGCACTTGCACAACTGTTCATGTGAGTTTCTATGAGTTGCTTATTCTCATGCAGCTGGCTGAAAGTGCCAGGCTGAGGTGGCTGAAACTTGTTCCCAAGCTGTTCAGCATGGCCAAGCTGCGGGTAGTGGATGGTGGAACCAGGCAAGGGCAAGACCACCTGGAATGCAAGGTGAAGCATCTGCATACCAACAAAGAGACACTATTATACAGTAATCTAAGTTATACTTATACCAACAAAGAGATATACTAGCCGCTAATGACATGGGTACCAAAAGCCAGCAGCATTCGGTCTTTTTTGGAGTCCTCATGACACTAAAACATAATATTGTGTAAGTATTCATGTAATTCATGTACGAGTAGTGGTTTGAAGAGACCCAACAGTTCTCTTCGACCAGGAATGCGGGAAGCACATGCAAACAACAAATCTTCTAGAGACAAGGCATGCCTTCCATGTCAATACAAATGCCCTAACGGAGACGGTTTCTTTGTGAATAACACATGTTTCACAGAACATTAGCGTTTTAGAAACACATGACATGTTGCAATTACCTGTTTATCTTAACCGATTCATGTTGCAGTTGTGCATTCTGATTGCTTGTCGTGTTTTTTTGCTAAACAGATTTGCGTGGTCACCAAGCCAAACACAAGCGCATATTCAAAACCTCCGTGCCACGCCGGTACTTGAGCTGTCCAAATGCAAGGCTCTAGCGTATCAATGCCCTTGTCATGGTGGGCTCCTTAGATATCTGTCACTGTCGATACCTTGCATAATTGCCTTCTTATTCCTGCATATTTCATCATACTTCTAGTCATAATTTAACTGTAAACATGTTCCATGCACTGATCAGTTTGCTGGATTTCTTGTAATGTATATATATATATATGTATTATTGAATTACATTGATATTCCTGAACTTCTCGAGCTGTTTGGAAAAAACTAATCCAGGTATGCTTCCACCCTGCTTCTCACGAACAGCCAAATTTGCAATGCGCGTTCATACATGTCTCCAAGAAGATCATGATGAATATTCCAGGGCATGTCTCCAGTACCAGTCTTCTAGTTCTTCTATACCTCCAGCCATAAATACTCCTGTAAAACTATTCCATGAACTCACGGCACTGGAATATTTACCTAAGGTACCAGCCATCCCTCGTCCTTTTCAAAACCCTCTGCTTCACTGTGGACGATGAGAAAAAAATAGAAAAAGTGATCTTCGTCCCGCTCTCGCGTTCTCACTCCGCGGATTCGGGAGCTCGTCCGCCTCCCAGGACCCATCCACTCTTGCGACGCACTCCTCCGTGAGCTGCGTGGGCGCGCCGTGCCCTCCCCGCATCGCACCTGCGGGCTTCGGCTCTTCCGAGTTGAGGGGCACGGGCACAGCGAAATCGGCCGCTGGATCAGTGATTCTTGAGATCTGGTGAGTAAGTAATCCCTGCCACCAATGAAACATATACACTGGGATACTTGAACATGTATATATATATATATTATACAGTATTACATACACAGTATAATAGATACTCGGGCCTATGGACCCGCTGTCTCAGGTGCCGGTCAACCCCTCTGCACCTCCGGCCTCTTGGCACCGCCCAGTCGCCCACGGCGGGGCGGTGGGCAGAGCACTGGGAGAGGACCTGCAGGCTCCGCAGGCGCTCCGCAGGTGGATATGCCCGGGGAGAAGTCAGCACAGAACCAGACGCTGCAGCTATGCTGCTTAGATATCAAGTGCTTGGGAATGGCTATTGATAATGCCTGCCAAGGGCCCTACCAGTTCATGTGAGTAGCCCAGCCTTCTCTCTTCCAGATTATGACGAAAAACCTCCTGGACCTCAATCAAGGCCTGGGAGAAGCCAACCATGTCGTAAGTGATCAAAACCACATCCATGGCTGTACCATTGGACCATGGTTGTACCATTTCAGCCGTACCAGACCCATCAGCCCAGCATTCAGCATCACGATACATCAAGCAATAGTTGAGCATCGGGCCCAGCCGCCTCGTTGAACAGCAAACTTTGCGCTGATTTCACCTGGGCGACGAGCGCCTGCTGTCTCAACAGGAACTGCGAGAACTACGCAGCAGTTCGACACTGTTGCTTCATCTACAGTAAGTGATTATGCACTTTGACAGGACAGGAATGGAAGTCCGGTCTTGGATTCAAACAATCTATCTAAAGTAGAAGTGCCGTAAACCAACTGCCTTACGTAAAGTATCCAAGCCTACAGCTGTGCACACAACATCTAGCTACGGAGATAGGCAGCAACTAGAGTGACATGAACCTGGATGCCTTGAGATGCTTAATTTTCCCCTTGTCACAGGACAGAATGCTGATGTCACACCAGTGGCATAGCTAGCAGCTGAAAGGCATCCCACGGGCATACAACGAACACATTGATCGAAAAACTGAAAACTGCGAAGTCCTCGGCATTTCTGCATGGCACATACAGCATGAGCAGCTGCCGCGGCAAGTTCTGCAGTGTCTCCTCTGGAGTGAGCTTCTTCGCCAGTGAAAGCAGCAATCCTACGGATGCATCATGAGCCCCATCAATTGCAGTCTTCACCCGAGTGTGAGGATCATCGTGCTCACCAATCCCAATCCAAAATTACTTACAGTATTCGCAAGCCAACCACACCGTGCGTGTTTCAAGCTTGCTTTGCTTGTGGGGGATTGGCAGGCTGTAAAGCACTTGGGTATATCGAAGCTCTTCAGCCGTGCTTTATATATGCTTGCGGTTGCTTGGGGGTCCAGGTGCGGCATGGTCAGCATGAGCCCGTCTGGGGTTCCGGAGGCCTCGTTCCAAGTGGTAACGCCTGGGCATCAAGTCTAAGGCCTCCTGCAACCAGTCTGTGTGAGGATCGAATCTGGGATCTCAGATGAAGCTGTATAGAATATGATAGAATAAGAATCATTCGACCCCCGACAGCTCCTGGAAAATGGAAAACGGGTAGCAAAAGAAGGTTCAGGCATTCCTTGCCTTCTTTCATTTGTTTCACTTGTTCATGACGATGACCTAGGATTCTAGAGAAACTCTGGCCCAACTCAGCGGGAATGCTCTGGCAAATCTCGGGCCAAAGGACAAATTAGCACCCAATTCTTCAATAAACATTCCGTCCTAAAGCACTCGCAAAATTCATGTCCTGTACTCCTGGACTGCTACGCGCTGGTCGTCGAAGTGGATTCTATAGAGGAAAGTGAATACCCAACTCGAAACTCGAAACCAGAAAAAAAGGAATAGATTTAGAAGAAAAACGGACCCCCGCAAATCAAGGATTGTCTTTTGCCAAAGCATGTAAGAAGTTGCAAGAATTCACTCCTTGGCAGCCTCTGCCACTTCATGAGGTCCACGGTGCCATGCCACAAGGACTCTTTGCTGTGCCTCCTGCAGGAAACAGGTTGGCCACTTCAGCTATTCTTTCAAAGCAACTTGTTTAACGGTTAACATATGTTAACATGTTTCAACAAAAAAAAGAACTGAAAACACCCTTTTTGAAAGCAACCCTTGGCTTCGGGACGAAGGGAAAGCGTCTCGCCTGCGCAGCCTCATCCCACCGGAGCTCCGGACATTCCGGCGCTTCCGATCGCTCGGGAAGGGCGCGGACATCCCCGAGAATGAGACCTGAAACCGTCAGCTCTGTGGCTGGAGCTGTTTGGGGTTCAAATTCGGCCTGCCTGGAGGGTGGCATGGTGGCTGGAGCTGGTTGCACAAGACGAAGTGGAACAGATTCTCAATGATTCTCACTTCTCCGAAGCTGTCAGTGGGAAGTTGGATTTGGGGCTGGACGTCTTCGTTCCTCGACTCTGGTGACCTGTTACCTTTGTGTTCACACGGCCGTTCTGATGAATGCCAGGCCCACCAATCAGATGCACCCCACGGGCGGAAGACCTTTATCTTTTTGATGACCTCCTCCTTCACATCCACCAATGATACCATACATACCACTACAACACATATATATATATATATTATAAGTGATGTCTAGTTGCAAGTGATACTTTTCCAAAATAGAAGTGATACTTTGGTATGAGCTCGCTTCCCGGTGGCTTTTTTTGATCAAATTCAGAAGCCTCGCTGTGGGCCATGGAAGAGGAGGAGGAAGATGAAGGCTCCTGCTCCTTGTCCTCTTGCTCAGAGGAGAAGTGATGACTTCCAATTGGAGTGATTTGTCTTTAGAGTGATTTGCTTAGGTGTCAAATCTTGTTCCCTGATGAGGAGATTGGAGATGAATGCATCTCACAGGAGCTCATCAACTTCCTGGAAGTGGGCCCAGAGTTTTTGAGGCGATCAGGAGACTTGGATCTTGCTGACGTGTGAGAATGTGTGTGTGTTTTGTGATGTGTGAGAAGAATGTGTGTTAACTTGCATTTTCCTATTTGCACTTAAGGGCTGGAGACCTGGATGAGATCTTGGGTGGATGAGAAGTTCACCTATGCCTCAGATTGTTTCTGTGGCTGCATTAGCCCTTGATTGGATTGAAGATGATTTGTAGTGTGGAGACTCAGTTCACTTCAAGGCAGTGGGGCAGACTGTCCACATCAAGCGCTGCAAATGCTGTTTCATGCAGCTGGCAACATGGAAAACCTGGAAGCTCTGTGCCTTGGATCAACTGGTTCTTCTGCTGTCATTTGATGTGTCTGTTCACAAGTTCAATGGGCGAGGTCAGTCAGCGAGATTGACAAAAACAAGCTGGCATTCCTCAAAGCCAACATGGAGTGCAGTGAGCACCTTGTCAGCCTCTGGCTTGTACCTCCTTGGCTAGGTGGTAAACAAGAATGATCCAAGCCAAGGTACTGTGAGAACATCTTCGAGAAGGAAGAGAACAGATTGGACATCCATGATGCTACTTGTCACATGTTTTTGGTGATCGGGTGAATTTATTTGACATTGAGGACTTTTGGTTTTGAGACTGAGGTTTCACTGTACTGCGCCGGCTTCCCCTGCCAGCCCTATTCAGTGCTCAGCAACACGCGGCAGATGCTGTCGGACCCCAATGCCAAGCAACTCTTGAGGGTGATCAAGCGGATCAAACGCTACAGACCAAAAGCTGCTTGGCATGTGAGTGAGAGAAGCAATACACTTAGGCTGTTGATTTGCATGCTGGCATGGTTTCAGGTGGTCCTTCTTGAGAACGTGCTCGGCTTCATGCCATTGGTGGCTGGCCTGATTGAGTTGATCCATGAGAACTGCAAAGGGTTTCTTGGTTGCAAGATCCATTGCTAACTATTGAAGTTGCCAAGCAAGCAAATTTGTGCATCTGCAGGTACGAGATTGCCAAGAACGTGATATGCCCGTGCTTTGGTTGAAAGCAGGATAGAAAACATGATAGAACGTGATATCCCTGAGATATGTGTGCACTCAAATTCAGGACTGAATATGGCTCGCCGCTATCACGCCGACGGATCTACATCACAATGGTCCGGCAGGACGTGATGAAGAGATTGTCAGGGCCGCTTCAAGCTTTTATGGACACCAGGCTGGCAGAGATGAGGATCCCTCTTGGAATCAAATGGACCCTTGGCACAGGGGTGTGCTTTTTATTGTCAATGTCAGCCAGTCATGCAACGTCACTTCTTTGGGTGTGGCTGACATTCTCAGGCAAGATCTCCTTCTGCCTGCAAACCATCGAGCGATCAGATACGATTGCAAGCGCAGGTATAGAGCTCGTCGGAGGAATGCGCAGAAGAAACTTGGCTTATTTCTTTTTCATGTGGTCAGCTGGAAAACCTTTTTAGTGTGAGGTGTTAGCCAATAGAAATGAGGTGTGTGAACACGCACCACAAATGGATCAAGCATCATCGGGATTGGGCCAGAAACCACAAGGCATTGGTTTTGAATTGAAAGGCTGTTTATTCTTCTGTGCTAGGGCAGCGGTAAACACCCGTTTTGGAAAGGTGGACTTGGCGAAAGCAGTTGCTGACTTCAAAACCCGGAACACTGGCTGTGCCTACATCAGCACGCGACGTGAAATGGAGGCAAGGTGCAACATTGTAACATTGAATGTCAAACATCTAAAGAATGAACTTTAGTTAGATTTTGATTTGGCTCAGGCTGTGGCCCTGCTATCTGCAAAGACCCAACTGTCATTTGCAAACACTTCGCAATCGATCCATTGCATGCCGGTTGTTCCCGTTGATGGCGGTGATCCTTACGAGTATCTTCCAGTGCTTACGTGTTGAACTCAAGTTGGCAGTGCAAGTTTTGAATAATAAATATCACTTGCAACTAACTAAACACACATCCATCAACTGAGGCCCAATGGGAAATTTCTGGCGTTGAGTATAACTCCACAGAGGTATCTTGCTGGCCGTGAATGCTGCATCCTGATGGGGATGCCATATCACAGGATGCGTTTCAATGTTGGGGAGAATGCTACTAGGTTGCAGTACATGCCTTGACCACATGTTCATAGAGGGAAATTGAAACCCCAAACTGCCCTCAGGTGCTAGCATCTCTAGCTGGGAATGCAATCCCTGTTAGATGTGCAATGGCTATGCTTTGCGCTGCCATAAGGGCAACACGACCAGAACGCATGGCTCACCTGTGACCTGAAAAGGGACATATTGACTCAGGATGTTGCAAAGCCCTGCTGCTTTCCTTTGTCTTAGCAAGTTCTTGTAACCTGTGCTGGTTCTCAGGTGAAACAATGAAACAGCAATGACATGCAAGGAATGCAAACAACAAACTTCAATTAGAATTTGCTTGGTCTCATTGTCTTTTTTGTCCATGCCTATTTTGCAGCGCTATGATGCAAGAACGGATTCGTTGGTGCCAATCGAACTGGACAATTTGGTATTGGGAAGATATGACCCTTCATCAACTTCTGAGTCTGAAAGTGGTTCTGAGCATCTTTCCTGCATTCCAACTCTATGTGAATTACTTGGATTCTCCCACCTCTTAAGCTCTGCACCAAGGTATGAGGATGACTCAGCTTCATCTATGTCATCTTCTGGGACTGATGCCTCTTCAGAAGAAGATGATTGTTTACCTGTGGGTGAAAGGGGGAAAGTGAGTCTCACTTTGCAAAAGCTTCAATCAATGCATGCCGTGGCAACAGAAATCAACAAAGAAGCCTCATGTCACTACGCTATCCATGGAAGATGCAAGACCCGCATTGTGGAATCCATCCGGAAACCAGTCTGTGCCTGCAAATGTCGTTTGCAAGTGGCCCAGCTCTTCAAGCTGTGCATGGCTTTTTGGTGTTTGACCAAGAGAGGGCAAGATACAGTTTTATGGGAGATCCAGCAACATGGAACCGCTGGTCGAAAGAAAGATTGGTATCTTGAAGGCCTGGTTGAACCACTACTGTTCAACATGATTGAGTTGTTCAATGAAGACAATGTTTGCGATTGTGTTTGGGGTCCTCAAAAGCCCTCAGGTGAACACGTATGCAAAGAAGGCTGGATGCATATGATGGCCATTGGTCGAAAGCGCTTGGCGCGCACACGCCAGATTGCCTATGGGAAAGACCTGAGATGCTATGGTGGAATCTTTGCTGACTTCAAGGGTGCCCCCTAGTTCCAACCCAGTCATCCTGCTTGTGCCCTCTCAGGACCACCGCTGCATCGATGCACAAAGTCCGCCTCATGCGATGCGTTTTTCATCCACATATACTGGTCGGCTGGTGAGCCTATGTCAAAGGAGTAGCTTGCCTCACATTTGCTCAGTGATGAGAACTGTGTTTAAAAAATGCTTCAACAGCAGTGGCCAAGGATTGCAACTACAGCAGCTATGAAAAGGGGGGATGATAATCTGAGAGATGAACTTCTTCAACGTCTTATTGACAGTAGATTGGTCACTCCCTATGTACAGGTGAACTTCAACCACGAGCCATCAAAATTACCTGTTCGTGAACTGCCCCACTCCAGCTGGGCTGAGATGTACTTGCTTTACAAAGCATACACAAAAACCACTCATGAAGCATGTGCGTCACGTGCAACCTTCTTCAAATCCGTATCGAAGTGGAAGGTATGCTTGAAATTCCATCAGAAAACGCATCACGCTCAGTGCGCTACATGTGCCCGATACAGATCAGCTTTGCATCGCACGGATGAACCCTGTCATTCTGGTGTGGTGTTTTGAAATCTTTTGAGACGAATGTGCTGTGACCCACCCCTTCTGAGAAGCTAAGGATTTCCAATTGGTGGCCAAGATATCAGACCTTTTACTCCATCACTATACGCAAACTTGGAAAGATCGGGAGGTCTACTGGTGTGCCAGGGAACGGGCAAAAGCCCAAAGGGATCTGCTAGTCCTAATCCTGGACAGCTACGACCATGCCAAGCTATCACTTCCAGCCTGGCCCATGCGTCGTTGCCCCAAAAAGCCGGTCTACGAGGGGACACGACGTGCATTGGTGACAACTAGTTCCAAATACTATTTGTCAGCTAGTTACTAGTTGCTATTTGACCTAAGTGATCTAAGGAGTGCACCTCACCATGACTGGCGTGATCATCCACGGGCGGGGCCTTTATCTGTACTTGGCTGATGAAGGTATGCCTGGAGGATCGAACTGGTCCATAGAATGTGTTACTTGGAATAATGTATTATTGCGCCCATCCCTTCACTCTGCTTTGCTGGGCAGCAAGGCGATGCGCAGCATTGACCACGCGTGGACGAAG